TGGATTTTTTTTTCCTTCAAGTTTTTTAAAAGAATTTGTCATTTATCATTAATAAATATACTGAAATTAAATCATTCCCATATAAAAAAAATGTTAAGCTAATGCAATGACAACAATGCTGAAAGTTGAAAAGGTAAATTAAGAGTATTAGACCTTGTTTGTACAATAACTAAACACCCCTAACCAACTTAGTAAAAGTAGAATAGTTAGGCTTATGTAAACAATAAAAAGAAAATATGATAGTACTACTCACCAAAATAGTTGGGCATGAACATGAGGAAATCATTTCTACGAAATTGGAAATTGCTTAACTTGTTAGATATTTACTTAGTTGCAAGCCATTGTTCCCCAAAACCAAATCTTCCATGTTTTTGTCTCCTAAAACTAACCTGGAATGTTGTTTTTTTTTTTTTCATGTGAGTAATCTTCTATTGTATCTACATAAGCTTTAAGCTGGTATGGACTTCTTCCTTGCATGTTAACCATTTGATTAATGTTCATTTAGTTTTTAGTTTTTAGTTTTTTTTTTTTTTTTTTTTTTTTTTTTTACAAAGATCAGGTATTTGATTTAATCCAGTTTCTTTAACAAAAGCATTGTAACATCCTATTTGCTATAACACCATTTCATAATGGAAAATTTGAATGTCTTAATAAGAAAAAAACAATTAAAATACAAGAGTATACACCAACCGGCTTTCCTACTTGAAGAGCACCCTGAATTGTAGTATCCATCAGCAGAGCATGAAGGACATCCCAAGACCCGAATCACCTCTGTTTCCAATTCGTAAGAAAGCTATGTAAGAAAGCTATGGACTCCAAAGATTTAACAAAATTCTTCAGACTGACTTCAAAATTTCTTACCTGAAGAAGCAAGTGGTTTCATCTCAGCCATGTAATTTGTTCGAAAGAGGAGAACCGACCAGGAAGATTGACCCAGCTAGGCTGTTTTTCTCCACAGGGGCATTCCATCGAACAGCTAGGGTGCAAAATCAAAATTTTAGACAGAAGTGGCCTTCATCTACCAGGTAATTGCTTATTTCTCAGAAAAACATAACATACGAAAATTTCAAACAGATTGTACACCGTTTTAAGTTGAAAGCATGGAATTATAGTGCCTAAGCATGGGTAGAAAAACTTACGCCGACATCTGATAGGTTTTTCGACAGTGTTGGTTGAATCCATGGTTTCCACTAACGTTGCTGCTACAGAAAACAATAAATGGAACAATTACATTCAACAATTGACACAGCAACAAAAAAAAAGCGATAGAACCCTAAATCAAAGTAACTATACAACACAATAGAAACAGAAATTAAACAGCAAAAAGCTGAAGAAGATAGCGATGAAGAACAAAGAAGCGGAAGAAACGATCTGACAATACCCAATATCGGAGGAGATTAAAGATACAACCTTAATCAGTAAATCGAGATACGTAAGCAAAACGAATGACAAATTACAATAAGCAACGAAAATAATCGGCAGATACGAAGCAGTTGAAAGGAGGGCGGAAGCAAGGGTTTCCAAAAAAACCCAAAAGCGGTCGTCAAGTGGAAAACATGGATAGGCGGTGGAGGAACAAAGGTCATTGGAGGAGAATGGCGGCAAATCATCAGGAACATAACACGTATGAAGCGAAGCCAACAGTTTTGCAAAGACAACCCCCAAAAAAGTCAGCGTTAACCAAAAGAAGCACGTAGGGGGAATCCTTAAAAATTGGTGGCCAAACTCTGAATCGAAAAACTTTCCTGTTCAAACGTCCCACGGGATTTAATATATATATATATATATATATATATATATATATATATATATATATATATGGTGTAATCTAAATCTATAACGATGAACAAAGAGATGGATAAAACAAAATGTAAAAGAAAACAGATAGGTACGAATAAAACATACGAGAATATTTGATTTTTTTTTTGTTTTAATCTCCTTTTTTTAATTACAATGTTAGTTTTTAGAATTTGATTTAATTTGTTCAATCATACGAGAATATTTCATGGATTATTTTTAGTGTTGGGTTCCTGTGATTACTTAATTACAGTATGGATAATTGATTGGTCTTGCTGATGATGGTTTGTTTCTTTCATATTCGTATCGACTGTTGAGTATTTACCCATATCATAGATATTATAAATATGAAAGAATTTATTGGGTATATGATAATTGATAAACTCGTGTATTGTTGTGCTTGTGGAAAAGAGGGTAAATGTGTAGTACATCAACAAGCATCTCAACAATATGTTACCAATTAATGTATCCACCTTTCCATCAGAGTTTGGATCATTACAAAACTGTTAATTAATACAAACTCAAACTCATCAGACAAATGGCGATGTGGACTCAAGTTTAGCCCGAGTTTGACATCGCATAGTGGTGGATTGTGGTTGCTCTTTAATGTGCAATTCCACCGACTAATTAACCCCTTCGCCGATTTGTTGGTTTGAACTTTCTCCAGACACGTTGAATCTATATCCAGAATCTCGACATACAACGTTTCTTGTATCCATATATGTACCAAACGGATAATTAATTGGGACCCCAACAGCTCAAATACATCACTTTTCTCAATGATTCTTCTGATTGTTTCGCTTTCTCTTCCATGTCTCTGCTAGATGCCATGGCTGCCGGCGAAGTCAAGGTTTTGGCCTGGGCGATTGATCGGAGATTGGACTTGGCGTGGTGGTGGACTGCCCTGATGGTGGTGTTCCATCGTGCAAAGCCTTGATCTTTGAGGGCTTCCACCACTCCGACAGTCCCGGCTACCATCCATGCTCTGCTTCTGAAACTCATGGTTAAATCTTGTAGATGGTTAATAATTACACGAAGTTGGTGTTTGTTTGAATCGAAGGTATGTTTGTTGCACAAGTGATTGTTGAAGAATAGAAAAACCAGAAGTAGGTATATATAGAGATGCGAGGCACACAGACATTTCAATGAAACAGCCTCTCACTTTTTATGGCGTAAAAAACAGGTGGCGAAAGCCACTGGTTTTTAAAAAACTAAGGTTGTCAATAATACCCTCTACTTCACTTGCGGATATGGATGATATAAAACTAAACAATTGATAGTCTTTTCTTGATAACATAATAAATTCTTTTTCTGTACATATTGGTCTTTATATATATATATATATATATATATATATATATATATATATATATATATATTCTATTTTTCTATATGTATATCATTAAACTTGTTTGATGCTTAAAATCTATTATTTTGGCAATAGCCATTTTTAGGGACTTAATTTTCTTTTTGTTAGATTAATGATTTAATAGATAACAATTTATGTTACATTAAATCCTTGTTTTTTTAGCAATTCTCTTGAAGTGATTTCTGTTTAAAAACACTATTATATTAAGAGAAATCAAATATTATTTTATTTTTTCTTCCTATTATTTTCTTATACACTTAAGATTATCTTGTCATATTTAATAAATTAAAGATAACATTTTATGATGAATTTGGCAACTATCAGGTATGATTTTATAGTGTTAATAATAATAATAGGAGATGAAGGTAAGTATAGCATAATTTTTAAGCTTATTTGTACAATTAGAGAATCCCTCCGCTAACCATCCATTTTGTAAGTTCGTTGTGAAATGGGTTTTTATCATACTAAACGAATGTTTTAAAGCAATAAGTATGTACACTATGTTATAATATCATTTGTGTCACCTCAGATGTTACATCATCAATGGTGTTACAACACCATTATAAAAAATGATCATCATATTATAAAATGTTATAACATCCATTATTTTTTATGTCATCATTTATTTACTTTTTTTTAGTTTCTTATTTTTTTAATTATAAAAAAAATATTTTTATAAAACACAATATTTAAATAAAACATGATATTTAAAAAAAACATAACATTTAAAAAGTAAAAAAAAAAACATAATATTTAAAAGGCAGAATTTCATATACGCCCTTCCTAAACAACTAACTATCGTATTACCCGACCTAAATTCTAAATATCGTATTCGCCATTCCTAATGTTTTTTAATATCATATATACCCAAATCTATTTTTTTGGTATTTTTTTATTGATTTATAATTGTTTTTCATAATATTAAATCATTATAAATAAAATACATTATGAATGGACAATAATACCCTTCCTCCTAATCTCCAATACAACACACGATTCCCAGCTTTATGGATCGATTCTACCAAAAATCGTTTTCCCCCATACCTTCTTAAATCACGATCGATCCTTCCCTTCCCTGAGGCTTCCGATCTTTGCATCCAATCGCTACATCTAATCGATCGCTAATTCCAAGTGGTGCTTCCCCTGTTAACGCATACACACACACACAGGTTACACCTTCCTTTTGATTATGTTGTTGTTGTTTGATTTGTTCAACAATTCCTAGACTTATTGCAGCTGCAGTAATAAGGATTTTATGATTTTTTTTTGTCAATTGAACATTCAAATTAGGATTACAACTGATAAATATCTCACCTACACATCTAGAATCTGGAATTGTTGAAGTCCTAATATCATTTTCATAATTCCTTTTCCATATAATTTGTCTAATTTGTCAATGATTCCATTATATCATGAAGAAAACTAATTGAAGTCAAAACAGAAGAGACTAACTAGAAAACTAATTGATGTCAAAACATGACTTCATGGGAAGAGACTAACAAGAAAACTAATTTTGATTATGTTGTTGTTTGATTTGTTCAGCAGTTCCTAGACTTATTGCAACTGCATATAATTTGTCTAATTTGTCTCATGATTCCATTAAATCATGAAGAAAACTAATTGTAGTCGTGTTGTTATACCTTTATATCTGAATCATGTTATACCTTTGTATCTGAATCAGAATCATGTTATACCTTTATATCTGAATCAACTACTCTTAGCTATAGTGTCAATGTTATGCAATGTTGATGTTTGTAGTCGTGTTTTTATACCTTTATATCTTTTTTTTTCTTATCCCCGACTTAAAATTATATTTTAGAGGCGATACAAACCAATGTCTGAAGATCATTCTCAAACAGAAGATACTACCATTCATAACACATCAAAACCCATATGGGAGAGCAGGGCTACGTCTCCAATAATCGAGTATGTTTATGTGAATATCTTAATGTTAATTCAATTAGACATTTACTAAATTGTATGATTGTTTCTCTAATTAATTTTCAATTTCAGGCGTATACTAACAGCCAAGTTCAAGTTAAAATTGAAATATGGAGGTTACTTTCGGCTAACGAAGAATAGTTGTAGGCAAATATATTGCTTTGGCTCTCAAAAATGTATCCACATAGACATATTTTTATACAAGTTTAGTCAACTACATGAAGAAGTGGTAAAATGTTATTCATTAAAGAACAACCCAAAAATTTCTAATTTTTATGTTGACAAGTATGCACCAGAAAAATCCCTTATTGTGCTTGATTCTGATGAAAAGTTCATGGCTATGCTTGGCATGTATGGAAGCGAGAAACAAGTAACCATTTATGTGACAACAGAGAATAACCTCGGCTCCAATAATCATACTAACCATTTGTGTGCCAACAGAGATGAACCACACGATGAGTATGATGCAGACCTTTGTCCTACGGAAGAAAGCTATCATAGTCATCTCAGTTCTGATAATGAAGATGATATAATGAATGATGATGATGTAGTTTACTCATCTAGTAAGAATAGTATAAGCATGGAAGTCGGCTCAAAATTTGAAAACGTGGTTGATTTTAGGAGAGCTTTGAACCACTTTGCAGTCATAAATGAATTTAACTACTACATTCAAAAAACCGACCTGACACGATTCACAACAAGGTGTGAAAACCTAGAGTGCGTGTAACACCCTATTTTATTTATTAAGTAAATAAACAAATTAATGAAGGACTCGTAGCCCTAAAATTAATAATTATATAGCAAGGTGTTGGTTCTGGGAAGCCAAATGCCATAAGTTGGATTATTCGGGGGTCAAAGTATTAATTCGAGATTTATTTTGTAAAGATGTTAGAAGACAGGGGAATATTTGGTAGGGATTAGACCTAATGTGAAAGGATTTATGAAATCAGGGGCTAAAGAGTTAATTATGGACCTCATTTGGAAATAATTGTAGAGGGAGTGGTTACTTAGTAAAATATGGGACTTAATTTGTAAGGGATTTCCATGGGTGGGGTTGAAATGGTAAATTATGTACTTAGTTTGAAAGAAGAAGGAGATGGAGGGGCTGGAAGTGCCATTATGGCAAAAATTTGAAAAGGGACGGGAGTATTTAAGGCACCACCCGGTAACCCTAACCCTAAAAGGAGGAACAACCGTCACCACTCCATCCTTATGCCCCATCGTCGGCGCCGCCGCTATGTCGTCTCCGATCAGCATCTGATGACAATACCTCCGGACCTCCATTCGTCTTCTCCTTCTCCTATCTTAAGTCGCTGCCACGTGAGGCTTCACCCGCTACTTCGCAAACTAGAGCGCCACCCCTGTCACATTTTCCTCAGCCGCCAGTGTGGGCTTCGTGTGGGGGATTGCGTCCATTAGGGGGGGTCGGGAATAGGCGACTGGAGCTTCCGCCACTGTTGGGGACTCGATACCGCCGAGAAGCCTCCAGCGCCGCTGTAGCGCTGCCGATAACACCACTGCCACCACCGTCGGTCAAGAACGACGTTGCTGCCGTTCGATGAACACCACCAGGTGGGTGGCTGCCTTCGGATCTCAAGAGAGGCGTGTGTGTGGTCGCTATCTCGTTGCCGCTGCTATCTTCTGCCGCTACGCAGTCGTGGCTGCTGTTTCTGCCTTATTCCGCCGCCACTAGCCACCGTGAGAGGTGGTTGTGGGTTTATTTATAGGTGTGTGTTCATGTGATATTGTTGTTTCTGGTTGTTATGAGATTGTATGTGTGTTTGAGGATGTTGTGTCGCCGGAAATCAAGAGCACCACCATGGCAGCCAACCATGGTGGGCTAGAATAATTTGATAGGCCTAGGGTAAGGCCCATGTAAGGGGTTTAGGCCCAATTTGGAAAATTGGGCCATAGTTTGGGCCTTTATGATTATGAGATATTGGGCCATTAGAAATACTGATTGTTGGACTGGACTTTTTGGTTGGGCCTTAGAATGAGACCATGTGAAGGTTTGGGCCCAATTTGGAAAATTGGGCCATATGTTGGGCTTTGATTCCTAGTTTGACTTCCGGACCTTTTGATTGGGCCTTGTGCTTGAATCAAGCCTAGATGGGGGTAATGTAGCATGTTACTCCAAGAACTTATGATTATGAGTTGGAACCCAATTATTAATTGGGTGTTATTTTGATGTTAACAGTTCGGGAACCTGTCACCCAGCAGCTGGGGTTGGGTCTGCGAGACTTCAGCAGTCTGAGGTGTGTTACCTTCCAGTAGAAGTGGGTCTAAGGCCACAATGTCGGCCCACTAGTATGAGTTGTTTGTTAGATGATTGTCTTTGTGATAATTATCTAGTATGCTCTTATCTGTTATGTTTGTGTGCTAGGATGCTATATGATACATGTTAGTAGTAGTAGGGGTGAAATAGTCCCCGGATACCGGTTGAAAGATACCGAAGGGGTCGTCAGAACCCATGCATGCCTAGCAGTATGTTTATGTTATGTATTATGTGGTAGTGTAAGGGTGAAATAGTCCCTGTTATCCGGTTGAAACAGACCGCAGGGGAGGCCAGCACCCAGATATGCTAGGCAGTTATCCGGTTGAAACATACCGAAGGGGAGGCCAACACCCAGATATGCTTGGCTATGTATGTTAATGTATGGTATGTGGTATAATGGGGGAACTCACTAAGCTTTGTGCTTACGGTTTTCAGTTTTGGTTTCAGGTACTTCGTTTTCAATGGAAGGAGTCGGCTCGATCGCAGCGCATCACACTATATTTCCGCACATGAGATCTTGGGGATTACACTCTGATATTGTTTTATGATAACATGTTTTGATTATTTCTACTTTGGTTTTTGACATGAGATGTTATTATGGATGTTTTATTACTTATGGTTTTATAATAACTTATTTAAAAATGAAATTTTCGCCTTGAATTTTGGGATGTTACAGTGCGAGTGGAGAATACATGCTTCTATTACACAAAATGCAGTTACCTTTGAAGTAAGTGTATACCTTAAGTTATATTTAACATGTTTCATATTAAAAAATATTTATGTTTATTTCATTTTTTTGTAGGTTAAGAAAATGGTAGAAGTACATTCTGGCACTCGCAGCACCAAGGGTGGCAATAAGTGAGCCACTCAAGGATGGATTGCTAATGTAGTTACTAAAAAGTTGAACTCTGATGGGGAGGTCTCTCCATATGAGCTTAGAAATTGGATTATGAAAACTTACAATGTTGATGTGCCATACTGTGACATCCCCATTTGACGGCCAGAAAATACCGATTTTGTTTATTCTTTATAAAAATCAGAGTACCTCTTTTAATAAAAATGTTGCGGAATTTTTCCCCAGAAAAACATGATAAATACGTTATCAAAGCATTTCCGAAGAAATGTATTTTTATCCATTTTAAAACATTTGGGATGTCATCGTCAATACAGAAACATAAGCATAAACAGAACATACATTCATTTACACTAGTGATCTACATCTCTTTTAAATCCCTCAGTGTAAAGTAGCTTCATATCGACACCTGTGATACAAATAAGCTTGAGTGGGCCAGGTTGGGAAACCTGGTGAGTACATAGGGTTTTCAACCCACAATAATATAATTATTATGTTAAACATCAAACAATCAACCCAATTACCCATACCCATTATCTTCTTTACTCTTAAGGATCTACCCTAAGATTCAGCTATTCCTCGTTCATTCATTCCTAAGGAGGATCCTAAGGAATCGGCACTAAGTCTGTATAGTCGTCAGGGTTTATCTCGTTTATTGACAGTATTGTTTTCGAGAGTCCACTCGTAATACCTGTCAATGGGTTTTTAGAGTACACCGAGTGAACACATCGTTCACAACACCTACAGGTTGCGAGCCTGTTAGTGTTCCACTAGACTGTCTAGAATAGTCCGTGGTTGTCATCCATACTCTGCTAGATGACGGGGCCATCGCTTGGGTCATCGTTTGGCTCATCATTTTGGCTCATCGTTTTGGCTCATCGTTTTGGCTCATCGCTTTGGCTCATCGTTTTGGCTCATCGCTTTGGCTCATCGTTTTGGCTCATCGCTTTGGCTCATCACTTTGGCTCATCGTTTTGGCTCATCGCTTTGGCTCATCGCTTAGGTCATCGCTTCGCACCATATTTTATCACTCATATATCATCGCTCATCATTCATCTCATCTTTCATCGCTTATCATTTATCTCATATTCCGTTGCTCATCATTTATCTCACCTCTAATCTACCCATGTTTTACCCAACATATTTTGTAGATATAAAATACATATACAGTTTAGATCATTTAAACATGTATAAAACGTTTCATCCAGCATAGACAACAAGTATTCATACAGTATACACACATAGCACGTAATTTATATAAAATACTTCATATCTATGTGTAAGATGAAAGTAACTATGCACTCACTTGTTAAAGTGATGATTCCAAACTCAGGCAACGCTTCACTTTTAACGATTCTATTTTCCTTCGACGAAACCTAACATTATTATCGCTAAATTTTAGTCTAATATTTACTGTGACTAATTATTAGTCTTAGCATTATTATTATTATATAAACGTTTAAACAATATTTTCCAACCACTATGTACAGATAGGGGCCAAACATAAAACACCGGAGGGCAGGACCATGTTGGCATATAGCACTTCTGAAATCCAACAACCCTATGCGGCCCTTTAAACCGGATTCCCCGTACCGCGAGTGGTTAAAAAGATATTATAACGACACTTATATAACCCATAATAATAATCGATTAAATAATTATTATAAGGTCCTAATAACATTACTATATTTAAATAAAAGCTATATTAAATATAGTATAGGCGTAGCTCACTTACAACAGGTTTTTATTAAAAACCGGGCTTCGCTGGAGCAGCGTTTCCGAGCCGAAAGCTTTTCTTCTCGGAGCCGTCGAGAGCTCCGGGGCTTTCTTCTAGCACTAGGGAAGTTTCCTACGCTTTAGGGGGGGGGGGGTTAGGGATTCTAGAGAGAAGTTAGAGAGAGAAAGAAAGGCTTATGGTGTGAAGAAAATATGAAGAGTTCATATCTTATTTATAGGGGTTTTCTCGAAGAGTAGGCCCTAAGTTTCGTCCGTATCTTCCGCGTACGAGCTCCGTTTTCTACGTTATTTATATCCACGCATTGGTATTTACGAGTACTACAACTTTCATTTAGACCCCGTCGGCTAATTCTCATTGTAGCTCAGATTTAAAAAAACTATATCGAATTCGTCGCACTTGAAGAGTAGAGACTAAGTTTCGTCCATATCTTTCTCATACGATCTCTATTCTCGATGTTCTTTATATCCACGTGTTGGTATTTACAAGTACTACAACTTTCATTTAGACCCCGTTGGCTAATTCTCATTCTATCTTAGATTTACAAAACTGTATCGAATTCGCCGCGCTCGAAAAGTAGAGACTAAGCTTCATCCATATCTTTCGCATACGAGATCCGTTTTCAACGTTCTTTAGATCCACGCGTAGATAAAAATAGGATCTACAACTTTCATTTTGACTCCGTCAGCTAGTTCTCAACCGATCTTAAATTTAACAGTAGGAGGTGATTACACTGTTAAATGTCCGCATAAAATTCATAACTTTTACATACGGACTCCGTTTTCGTCTGTCTTTTTATCGTTGAGTTCCTATTAATGAGATCTTCAATTCTCATTCAGGTCGCGTTGGCTAAAAACCGCTCGATCTAAAATTCGAGTTTCGGACCGTGCACTGCTATGCCAAATCTTAGAAAAATCATAACTTCCTCACACGAAGTCAGATTTGGGCATTCTTTTTATGTACGCTCTCGGTTTGACGTATACTACGACTTTTGTTTAGATTGCTAAGGCTAAAAAGTCTTCTATAGTAAATTCACTATTTACGTCGCGTTGTGTCGTGCCGGTTTTGCCGTAAAACTTCTACGGGCCATAACTTCTTAAATCAGACAGAAACCAAGTCCAAGAAGACCGAGGAGGCCTTGGGGTAATAGAACAAGGGAGGAAGAAAGGAAGGAGCTTCGGCTCCAGCTCCGCAAAGTTAGACTTTTTCCAGGTTAGCTAGAGAGAGCGATATTCATCTTTTATAGCTTGTTTACCGGAGGCCTCGTTTTCAGGTTTGATAGAATAAAGAAGTAGAATAGATCTCTCTTCTTAAAGTATAAAACACTTCCCGCAAGGTTCACACCGCGGAAAAGGTGAACTCGGATTTTGGCGTTATTTATATGTACGGAACCCTTGTGACATATACTATAACTTGGTTAAGATTAATCCTTCTAAATAATCTTCCACTAAAAATTCATTTTTGACGTTCATTGTCTCTAAATTGGCTAACCCGAATCTGCGGACGTTACACATACCTAACACCCCGTTCCCGAGTTCAACTTAACGAGAGAAAGGAAAGGAAATGAGTGGAAATGAAAAGAAAATAAAAGAAATTGGTGTTCCCGAGTTTCATTAAAGGAGAGAAGTGGAAAGAAGTGGAGGGAAATGGGAGGATCACTTTCCTTCCTAACTTTCCTTCCGATTTGGGAGGATTTGGA